GAAGGTCTTCACCTGCTGCAAGCTCGGCCTCCTTCCGAATAGATGCTCGTCTTCATAGGCTTTCAATTCAGCGTTTAGGTTACTGTCCACCGAATCAAATCCCATATGTGTCTCGGGAAGGATTTCCACCAACCTGTCATATGCAACTGAACCCGTGCCCAACAACAGCGCCATATGTTTGCATATACTCAGCGATGAAGCAGGTGAGAAATCATTCTTCATAATTTTCTTGTATTTTTCATTGCAATGGTAACTAGTAGTGGACCTGTCTGCTGTTTTTCAATCGCTAACGAGTGGAAGCTTCAGGATTCATACTGTTGCGCTCCGATGGATACGACTGGCCCCAGCCTGCCAGATCCCTCACTGTCCGCTTCTCCTATGCGAAGACTGCCTGGCGAGATTCCATCTATTCCAACAGTTCCACCATCAAATCCCTACGCGGGTATGTCTCAAACATTCCCCGGCGGACCAATTGCACCTGGTATGGGCCCAGTAGCGATTCCTGATCCGATTCCGGGTGTGCAGCCAGAAAAGGCAAGTCATTAATCTCTTCCATTACATCACAAGTTTACATCGAGGACCATACTTTATTTTCAGATTCTTCCTCCTTCTCTCACAGCAAATATGAACCTTAATGGTAATGGAAATAACCTACGACCCATGTCGGGTATGAACATGAATCTCAACGGCAATGGGAACAATTTCAACTACAACAATAATGGATACGGCTTAACAAATCAAAATCTGAATGGATTCACGAATAATCAGCCCGCTATTGGAGTGCCAATGGGTGGCGTTCCATCCAGTATGGCTTCACAAGTCATCGACCGAGTCCTTGGTCAATTATCTGGCCAGAGCTTCAACTCTGGCAATAACCCGTACTTTGCCAATAACGCTAACAGTAATCAGCCGGGAGCAGGACAAATTTTCGGTGGACAATGGTCGAATCCAGATCATCATGCCTTCACCGGCTGCCCAATAGGATCAAGAGCTTTGGTCAGATCTGATCCGCAGCGTTGTGACATGTCATGATCAATCTTGTCCAAACGGATTCTGGTGTGTATTTGCTGAAAAGGTGAGACATTTATAGCGCTTGCTAAAGAAGTTCACTGTAAAAAATTGTTACCATATTTTCGTTCGGCGCAGTTCGACGACGGGGGCATTTTGCTTCCCATCGATGTGTCGACCCATCTAGATAGCCTTTTCTTGAGTTGACACGTTTTACCATGGTGGCTAGACGAGCTTGCTCCAGCTTCACAAGAGTTCACAAGTTTCACCAGAGTGAGACTTGTAAACCGGAAGTAGTGAAGCAGTGAAAGTGCAAAATGCCCCTCCCGTCGCCGAACTGCGCCATTTCGTTCTATAGAGATACCATGAGGACTAGTCAAGCCCATTTTGTTCCAGCATACGGTTAAATGGGACATAGAC